CTGTATATGTACCTTTGATAATTTATATTACATTTATTCAGCAGTGTTAACAGCTAACTTCCTTCAATATTAGCAATATCTAACATATGCACTTACTACAAGAAGAACTGGTGGATGACATCGCCAAACAATCGTTAGCCTCGACATCGCAAGGTCCAGGTGAATAACTACATACAACATCTTTGCCATTTCTTGGATATTCTGAAACAGATTCAAACAATATTACTGGATTTTATTTCTTTCGCATAAAGTGACTTAACTAAAAGTGGGTGTCCTTAAATCACATTTTTATAAGTGTGATTGACTGAAGCTTTTTGAGGTTGTTGTAAGGTAGGAAATTATAATGTTCTTGAAATAGGATAGCATCAGATTACAAATATACAAAAGGCAAGACTGAGATCTTGACCACATAATTAATAAATGAAAAGAAATTACAGCTTAAGCTTTGACTATACTATCAAATTTTATGTGATAAATTTGTGTGATGTGGCCATATACGGGCATGATGATGTCATATTGCATCCAAATATGGGCATATCACAGTTGTTTGCCTCATGAAAGTTGATATAGTGTACAGAGCTTCAGAATATCACGTTCCCCCTTCCCCCCCATATTTTAAGGGGATTGGTCCCCCACTTTCCCGCGGCAATGTGATTTTATAATTCAAAAAGATGCTTGAAAAATGTTGAAATGTCCACAGATATCTGAATTACCTATACACGACTTGAGTCATGCGCCTTTATTATAATTTTAGAAGTATGAGGGAAAAAAAGTGTGTAAAGATTGGTTTTCGGCACATGAAGTATAAAGTAAATACATCAAAGACAATTAAGTTCTATTTTCCATGGTGCATCAGATTAATTATATCTTTATGATTGCCGAAAATCCCTAATAAAATATGAGAAATCTTTTTTGCACGTAATTTTGACTATAATGGTGATGTGCAGTGCCACAGAGAGAGAGAAGGGGGGTGGGGGAGGCACAGGGGAAGATCCAAGCCCAAGCTTACCAGGGGCCCATAGAAATTTCAGGTAGCATTTTTATTTTAATATCTTTTTTTTCAAAAATAATAATTAATATCATGGGCCCTCAATAATAGCATGGGTCTCCTAATAATAGGTCCCTCCAGATTGACAGGGAAACAGTACTGTACCCTCCCAAATTTTTTTTTTTAAATTGTGCACCTCCGGCGCCGGCCCTTCACGCTTATAACTAAGATGCCCACACCAACCATTGTCCCTGTTACAGTTTCCACACGCAACACGTACATATTTTATATTTTTCTATATTAACTAATGAATTGTATCTTTATTTTAGCACCTTTTATCTATTTATATTGTGTATATGGTGTACTGCTTCTTAACCTTGGAAAGAGAATTTCATGTGAACTTTTACGTGACAATAAAGAGAAACTGAACTGTACGTACGCAGGTACGCAAGTTTGTACGTCACGTCCCAGAATGTAAACACGGAAGTAAAACTGAATTTGTTAGGTAGCCTCTGTAATAATTAATTACAGGGTAGATGCTTAGTTCTATGACAATGCAATTTTGATTTAAATACAATGATATTATTATTCGTATATTATACGAATAATTGACAAATGGTGAGGCCTGCCCAGTGCGTGCCGACCCAGCTGAGACTCAAGAGTCAGGAAAACGTATGTGATCTTTCATCAATAGGTCCTATAGGAATAGGCCTTTTAATCATGTTTCTTACATAAAAACACGAATCAATTTTTTATAGCTAATACAATAAACAAAAATTATTGGCAAATAGTGTAAAATAATTGCTGACATTTTAAAAAGTATAATAATGACTGACATATTGATTGATTTGAAATAGGCCTACTATTCTACTCTCTTCATATAAAAAAAAATGTTGGAAATCACGACGTAAGTTATTCGATGTCGAATTACCATATAAAGCCTTGTCCTCTGGTGAACAGCATGGGTTGGGTGGGGGAGGGGGGTGACACGTACCCCAACTATTTTATGGGGTCCTCCCCACTTTTCGTCAGCAATGTAAATTTCTAAGAAAGTCAAGAAGATACCTGGAAATTGTTGAATTGAACTGCATAAATGACCAGATTTTAATGAAAGACCACAGTACATGCAGACCTTATTTTATAACAAGATACCAGTGTTTCTATCCAAAAACATCTGAATTAACTATAATACATTCAAGTGTGTGTGCCTTTATTATAATTTGAGAAGTATGAGAAAAAAGCATGTAAAGATAAATTGGTTTTCGACACATAAAATAGGTAAAGTAGATAAATCAAAGACAATTATGTTTTATTTTTCTATCGTACATCGCAACAATTAATATTAGATCAATGATGATTAATTTTACATCACATATATAAATTAGATCTCTACGGTTGCCGAAAATCGCTAATAAAAGATCATGAGAAATTTGTTGACGTTTCATTTTGCCTAGCAAAGTGATGATGATGAATTTTATTTTACTACTCTATATAAAAGTGTTTTTTTCCGGCCATCTAGGTACTATTTTCATTTTTTTTTTTACCTCAGTCCCAACCACATACGGTGGAGCTAAGAAAATTCATGTTTATTGCACCATAGGAGGCAGGAAATTGCACTCTCAAACAAAAACTTTTTTTGGAATTTTAAAAAGGCCCCCACCCCCTGAATTGGCCACTGCTTTCTATCAAATATCTAGAGCAAGAAATCTTGTCTTTCCTGCTATTCACTACCAGCTGATTATAACTCAACGGGAATACCGATAGCCATGACTGAATCCATTTTACTGAATGAAAATTAATATGGTTTGCAATCGGGTGGGAAGGGGGGGTTGCTAGCCGGCCTGGGTCTCGCTAAACTTGTCAACAAGAAATGGACAAAAAATGGAAATTATAGATGGATGGCATCTGATACTTTCAATTGACAAATATAAAGGTTTAGGAACTGAAATTTCATTAATATTTATTTGGCATATTATTATGCATACATGAATGACATGTGCTCTACTGTTATAGTCATAATGAAATTTATTTATATACTACTAATTGATTAATTCTACGATCGGCAACCCATGGGTCGTGATCCAAGTTTGGGTCGTGAGTGAATTTTTGAGGGTCGTCGGATAGCGTCTGGGTCTCCAAAGATTATACAGAAAGTCCTATGTGCTAAAAATAAACACTTTAAATATCAGAATATTCCTGTAAAAACATTGACATATTTTTTAAATAAAATAATTTGATAAATTTTGGCTATTGACTTAAATTTGCGCCTTCAGTGTACTATAATCTCAGTCAGACTGCCATTTGTTTAATAGTGTTTGTATTTCAACATACAGAATTGACACGGTGGAAATCAACAAATCATGAAAATAAAATTGAAAAGCTACTTTAAGTAATTATTTTCTTTAATAAGTATGTTTATCAAATTGTATTGTTTATTTATTTATTTATTTATTGTCTTTCTACTGCATGCACTTTCAGTACTTGTGTACAGTTTTTCAAAGTGGTACAGTTTCATAAAATACAAAAGTTAAAAGAAAAATAATTAAAAACATGCATATATATAAATGTTACAAGTTAGTTAGGATCCGATATAAAGGATCAGGTATCAATCATCCACCACTATGCACTTTGTGCGTATACGACAATAAAGATACAATACGAGGTAATAGTTACCATGTTGAGGTTTAATTTCTCAAACAAATGAACAAATGAGCATCTAACGTATGGATGCACAGCGTCAAAATCAATACTACATTGAGACTTTGTTTCTCAAATGTATAAGCATCAAATGTATGGATGTACTGTTCCAAGAATACTACAGTTTCACCTACAGGCATGCAATGCTACTACAATTCCGCATATAAATTATAAAGTAATAATTCTTAAGTACATCTAACGTATAGACATACAGCATAACATAAAGCATTAAGGATATGTTATCAAGTCCTTGCTTGACTGACTGCTTGGCTTGTGTACGCGTCGCTACCACACCACGTGTCCTTTAGC